TGATTAAAAAAGCCACATCCGTACTTAATGTATTTAAAGTATTGATAATTGCCACATCTGTACTTTAACAGCAATGACTCCGATTTAATCTTTTGCCAAAATAATTAACATGAACCATTTTTCCGAAAGTGAAGCATTGATTTGTACGAATTAATTTCTATAAGAACAAAATGGTGACCGAATCTAAGATTTCTCGCACTATAATTTTTTTTTCAACCGTAACAATTTAAACGATCAATTACCTGTTCGGATAAAATACAATTTCTACGATAAGAAAGAAATGTGAATCCAAACTTACAATCTTAGAGAGCCGAGATTGATAACAATGTAAGTCACTAATATAGTGGCATTTCTTAGACAGAATAGGAAGTGGTGGCTCTTAAATAAGATTAGTGCGTTTCTTTGCATTTGGCACTTTTGCAAAAAAGCAAAATCTTTGTTGGAATTCGCCATCGCAAAAAAAGCAAAATTTCAACTAGGGTAGTTCATAAACATCAACGAAACAAACAGAGATAATGTTTAAATTGTCATTTGCTTGATTATAAAAAGATATAACTCATTACAGTTTTCCAAAAATAAGCCACGCAAAAAAATTGAAAATAAAAAAAACCCAAATTATATACATTTCATTTATTGTCGCAGCGACGTATATTATCGACTCACTCCGAAAGTCATCTGAATTTTTAACAACGGATGCACATATTGCATCATACAAAAGGCAATTGGTATATTTACTTACATCAATCAGGTGAATGTTACTACAAACGGCTGACACAAGTGTAATCATCATGTCACTTTTACCCATGTCATATAATTGTTGTTCGTCAAATGGATAATCAGTCTCTGTGTAACTCCTTACAATTGCTGCACCTGCTTCACTTGGACCAACATTGTTTACAGCAAACGCTGGATCAGCCTTAAATATTTACAACAAGCTGGAAATAATCCGGAGCATATCCATTTTGCGAATCATATAAACTCGCGAAAAGACCGTATCATTCGTCACATTCCATATATTTGATAAGGCGTAAGCATTCGATACATTTCTTTACTTTGGCGACTTATAAGCGTGTGAACAGTCAGCACATTTTTTAAACGTTAATTTGAATTGCCAAATACGCTTTGTCAGAGGTAAAAATCTGATTTGTCACAGCATCGCTAAATCTGAACAAATTCGTTAAAAAATTGAATGAAATACGTGACAAACATAACTGAAATAGGTAAATGAATACCATAAGATATAATCTGTTGTGTGATTTATATTCTTAAACAAGTCTCTGCTAACAGTCAATCAAGTGATATGAACGACGGCATAAAGTTATGGCTATCAGCAGTAAAAAGCTTACTTTTAAAGTGCAGCTTGAGCAAAATATGCAAAGCATGCCTTTTAAAAATGTTGTCGATTCATAATATAATTCTACGAGAAGTAACATATGAATCCTTGGTACAAAATGTGCAAAGTTCTTGTAACTATTAAAATAAAAGTCTTTAGTAAGACCCTGCCGTAAGTCTGTCAAATTCTCGTATGCAACACACAGCTTGCATTGTATTAACATCGCCTGGCTACGATCCATAATACTAATGATTCTGTGTTATTATAACCGATGGAAATAGATACCAACAACCACAATAAGCAGTTGTATAGGAAGCATGCAATAATCTCTTTGACTTTTAAAATACTTCACAAATTTTATTAAAATAGAAATAATTCATTAAATTTTTAGCGGCCATGATTTCCAGATATATCTATGAAATACATATCCTAATTATTCTAAAAACAGACACTTTTATCAAATGCTTAGAAAAAACATAGTAACAGACATTATTTATTTCAACCAACTAAAAGTTTTATAGAATCCGAACAACCATACATTATTTCATTACATGTCAAAAGTTGTTAAAACGAATTTGTATTCTTTTTTGATAAAATGTTTAATTAAACGCGAAAATATTTCTTCTATTTGCAGCAGCCGTATTTATATAGATCGAATACTTATGACACGCTTATTTAAAACAAATTATAGTTTGAACTTTAATCACTATATAGATGAAACAAACATATCCATGAAAATCAACGTTACAAATGTGCAATATTATAAGCAAACATATAACAGGGCTAAACTAACTCACAGTTATCTGAAGAACCTGTTCGTGGTAGTTATTGAAGATATCTGTCACACGTATTACAAGCTCTGTTTGGTAATTATTGTTCGGATCACCAACTTTCAATATAACGAATGACTTCTTGGAGCCTTATGAAATTTTAGAGAAAAAAGACAGAATTGGCAGAATATGTATTTCTAAATATTTGCTGTATTACTCATATACATGAAAGAATCGCCTGTGTCTGAAGCAATTCAACCAACGACACCTCAGTGCTCAGCTTGAAGCCACTAAATATGAAATTAATCGTACAGGCAATCATAAGATATAGTTCATGATAGTATATGATCAGTCTCAATAAAACTGTGTCTTCAACATTTTTCAACGTTTTTCCGTTCGTTAGATTTTGATTTAAACATATCTTATTGCCAAAAAAGAAACATATACATACATATAAAGACGGTTACAATACAACAGTATAACACATTTGGAATATGGTTTGACCCACAAGTTCTGTCAACATTAGCAATGAGTCGTCCCTAATACAGTGAGTTACAAGAACATATTTTACAAGAATGAGTTTCGTTAGGTAATAACTTTTTTATTGTGAGATCAGTTGTAACCAATTACGAATCCCCTAGGCAAAGAACCAGCAAACCCTTGATAATAAATACGATGACATTTCTATTGACCTAAGCGGTCGGACTGAGACGTTCCGTGGGTTGATATGGACATTCCGAAATGCTGCATTAAATAATTATTAGAAATGCTAAAAAATATTGTAATCTCCTGAATATTATCTATATACTTTTATTGCTAATAGTAAAACTGTTTTCAAAGTCACAACATTTTTTACATAATAACAGAAAATAAGTTTGATTTTACGTGTTTGTAGAATGGGCTCGTTTTCTACTTTAGCTCCAATGGTAATCTGTCTCACAGTGAAAAATAAAATTGGACTATCCTCTGTTACTTTTGTTATTGCATCAGTTTTTATCCACGACTCACAGGCAAAAGTCAGCCATTCACGAGCAGACGTAACTGAAAAAATTAAATACACACTTTTATGAGAAATTATGTTGACTTTCACCATGTTCACAGAAAAAAAATGAAAAAAAATCGTAAAATCTTATTTTTCATTTACAACAAGATTAAGTAACAAAAAAGATTTGATAGTAATTTGATATGTTCAATATAAACACATTAATTACAATTCGCCGGGCAGCTTGGGAATATTTGACATATTTTCTCAATATCCTGTTCGATACAAAAACCAAATGAGAGTAAAAATGACCAAGAGCAAGTGAAAAATCTTATCTTAAAATAAATAGTAGATACAGAAAATGAAAAAAATTGACGGACCTATCTGAGTTGTTTCAAGATGGCATATTTTAAAGAAGAGTGTTAACATTGCCGTAAAATGATTGTCACCAACCAATTGTTTTGCCGGCATCAAGTTGGCATGTTCCACCAGAAGGAACAAAGTTCACTGTCTTTACCAATTGTGCTGTGGATGGAGAATGTTTCAGACTGTAAACAATCACTGTGATTTGGTATGTATTCCCCTGGACAAGCGAGCCATTCTGAATGCTTAACGAAGATGTTTGAAGACCTAAAAAATCAATTGAGTTGACCAAGTTAGATCCATACTATATTCTTACCAAGCTAAATAATCTTTTGTATGAGAATAATTATGTTAACTTTATTGATAGACTGCGTAGCTGTCAGTTTACTTAGTTTTAAAACGTGCTCATTTTTACTAAGAATAATTTAGCCTTTTATGCATTTGAATTTAACAACATACTTTTATATAACAGAAGCATTTCAGAATATTTACCATTCTGATGGCACAATGACCGATTTAAGTAAGTTATGATAAGGTCACACATTGAAAACAATTTCATCACGATCACATAATTCTTTTATTTCTTTTATTGTCCTGTTATTTTATTCTTTAATCTTTTTATTTTTAAATATTGATTTTATCCCAAAACATGACATTTTAACGTCCAAGTCTATTCATTTATTACCTCTGGTTCCTGAGGAAGGTATTATCAACTGAAATTGTGAACAGTGGGTTGACTACCTCTGCATTGTTATAGTTTGTTTACTTTCTCATTCGGATTTTAAATTTGAATTTACCATTATCTCATTTTATAAATATTTATTTATTTTTGTTTATTAGCTGTTTTGTTTGTTTTATTTTGTATTTTTAATAAGTTTTGCTTTTTTGTTTTTTTATTATTATTTTGTCTTTATATTCACAAAAAAGCTAATACCTGTTTCAGTTACAATAGGCAGCAAAGGAGTTGAAAATGTAGCCAATGTGGTGTTCCATACTAAGACGGACCAGGCGTATGTAAAATTCGTTGTATCTATCCCAGCTGGAATACTCAGATCTAGCTCAAGTCTATCGTAGTAAAATAGCCTGTCTCGTCCAACATGACAATTATATATACAACTGAAAACAAATAAAATACTGGCTTAGTTGATCATTATTTCTATTAGAAAATAAGTATGATTACTATTTTCCTTAAACTTAATTTGTTCAATGATTGCTATATCAAAGATTTTCAAATTAAACAAATAATAAGAAATTAACTATAAACGAAGCAGCAAGGACTATAAATTGGGCAACAAGACTACATTTGTATACTCGGTACTTTGCAGTCACCACTTCAATCATACAGAGTCGTCATTTTAACAATTGAGCATCTAATCAGACAGACTATCAGACTGCCAAAACTTCACAGATGTTCTATCTGGTTGTTTTGTTTCTTAAATTCAGGATTTACATTGGCCAGTGTACTGTATGCGGCTGTTTCTTACCAATTTGAGATCAGGGTTGATCTTACAGATTTTTTTTTAACTTTTGACCCAAAATTTAAAAAAAACAGTAGTTGTACAGTATACATACTCTATTGAAATTGGCAAAATATTGCTCATCAGCTTCACAATTTGCATCGCTGACGCCATTCTACCTCCGCGTGATAGAGAAAACACTGCCATACAGTACGAAAGTGAAGGAAACAAGGAAGTTTCAACCTTCAGTACATACTCTGTTCCATTTTGTATTTCATAGATTTTATGAGGTGCTACAGTTTGTGAAGGCAATGCTATCATAGGAAAACCTGTTAAGATTGTGTTCAAAGAATCTGGTGGTAATGAAGAGAAAACAACAAACGACCAGGCAGCCTGCAAAGGTTCAAGCACTTTTGATTCATTCAAAGGATCGTATGATTTGTTCCCATATATATGGAGCTCATTTCCAAATGGAATCTCTAGATACTCGCCGCCTGAAATATACGCAACAAGCTCAGGATCAACCACTTTCATTACGAACAAATCTTCTGTCCACTCATGATTGCTTACTGAAGGGAATTTAACCTCTAATGCCACGATATAAAGTCCGTTTTCCAGCGTTCCCCTTGGCAATTTTAAAACAGACGAATCGGGTTGTGTAAAATTTACAAACGGAACAAAGAGCTCCTGAGTTTCATTAACATAAGTAATCCTCCAGTTTATGACTGGTGAAGTACAGACATCACTGGTGATTTCCATGTAACTGTCGATCTGAAGATAGACAAAATATATTGAAGTAAATGAAGTATTGAAAAATCAAGACAATACCATATAACAGACTGGATGTTTTATTTTTATAAATTTGTTTTACAATTTAACAATATTTTATATACTGAAAATGAAGTAACACCTTCGTGTTATTTAGACTGGAGCATTGTGCTACACAAGGTAAAACAGTTTAAAAATAATTTTATAGTGGCCACTATGATTTATGTGTCACCTTGAATTAAAACAGTTTTGCATGACTATTCAATAGCTCATGTATCTAATAGGCAAATATTATTCGTTATTTGCCGGTAACGTTCAATTAAAAAGAGCGGAACATTCATCTTACAGTTAAGACATTATGTTTTGCTAATCATAATTATTGTTTTTCATAATTGATAACTGCCAAATCGGCATTACGGTAGTAAATTTGTCATATTAGTTTGCCTTGAAACCAAACAGATAATAAGCATAGTGTCGCTTCATTTGAGTATAAGAAAGTTCTGTAGAAAAGGTCACCTCGCAAATTTTAAATCTTTGATAAAAAATAGGATGCTCATTTTGAGCAATACTCCGAAAAGAAGAATTTGAAAAAATAAAACAAACAAAGAAGTCTTACACAACTGAAATATAATATTGGGTGCATTCTAGGGCAACCATTTAACACTTATCAGCCGCTGCCGCATTAAAATTATGAAATATTACTAATCAACTCTTAGCATTTACACTGTGTAATGTTCTAATTGAAATTATAATTAAATCGATTTTTAATTCAATCTCGTTTCTCTTTCCAGAGTCCATGAAAACCCATTCAAGTTTATACTGTACCTCATATAGCCTCGTTCAAATTAATATGAGTCCACAATACAAAAACTACCTATATCAAATGCATATTGTACATTCCCACTAGACACGTTCAAAAAGATCATACTGAATTCGTTTTGTTCTTGAAGTAACAAAGTTTTAACAAAATGACAATAAATAATGGTAAAAAAAAGAGATCATTTAACATTGTAAAAAACAATACTATCTGTATTGGACTCGTACACAGCTGCTGCAAAACTTATATCAGACTCGGCTAGCGTCTCGTCCAATAAAGCTAAATATTATAATCAACAGTGTATGACAACCTTTACAACTTCCGTGTAAATAGGGAATCATTAAAGAGCAATGTTAATAGTTACTATAAATACAAATTATATTCTCAGTCTGAAAAAAAGTTTAATCAGCTTTGCCTTGTTTTATTTTATTTATTCATTTATGCTATTTGAATTATCTATTTTTTTATAATTTCTGTGTCTGATTTTAAGTCTGTAGTGTACTTAATTAAAACTGTCAGTCATTACTTCTACTATAACTACCAGACCTGAATCGAATCTGTTGATAGGTAAAACAATGGTTTGTCAAACACTCTGTTGCTGTTGTCAAAGAAATCAGCATCTCTGAAACATTGGGAATATCGCACAGGACAGATCGTCTCAACTTTTTTATTGTGATCGTCCTTGCATTTCATCGACACGCTGTATATTCCAAACTAACATGAAAGAAAAAATAAAATGAATTTACAAACATGGCTACAGAATTGCATGTAAAGATGCGCGTAAGCATTGATTTAATTTGTCTGGTCTTTGACTTAAAGTACATGTATACAGCGATCATGTCAATATTTCATAAAAACAGTGAATATACAGATTTGTTCAAGGATCATTATAAAACATTTCATCCAGCTGAATATGTGGAAATGGTATTCAAATGTTTTAACCACATAAGTTCTTCACCAGGGAACTACTGACTTTCCGATTTGTATTATCAAATCGGCGTATTCCCCCATTCTAAAACTTTTATTTATTTTAAGTTTATTCTCAAGCTGACCTGACTTTGATCATAAAATGTACGGAAAGTGCAGAAATATAAGCTCTGGAATATGTTGTACTTTTATAACATACTAATTTCTTTACGCTTTTATATACTAGCTCACTATAGGAACGCCGTATTGCATTGTAATTGATAATACAAGTAAAGATACACTTATTTTTTCAGAAATTCACCCAAATTACAGTAGTTAGAATGAATAATTATCAATTGATAATAATGGTTTTAACCATTTTTTTACCTTCTGAGTTTGTCTATCGAAGTTGCCCTACTTCAAATTTGAAAAAAGAGTTTCAATATCAAGAAACAAAACATTGAGTTACCAATAGTATAAAGCCTGGTTCGACTGCTTGTATTTGCAGTCCGACCTAGCTGTATAACTTGCAAAAAGCTGGTCTAGGGTAAACTCGGGGGCAAATGAGCAACCCCAGTCTGATGACAAGCATTAACAAGTGAAACAAACAAAAAAGTTCACAACGTGCGATGTTGATAGAACACGACGTTCTCTCACCTCGGTGTATTGATGGTCAATTGTTTTAGGGTTCTTATTTATTTGAACTTCTTCTTCGTCAGGTTCCTCATCTCCCCAGGAAATTGTACATTTATGATCGTCATTTTTAGTTACATTTCCAGGTAGAGATATACTAAGAGACAGTTCACCAGGTTTGTCGGGGTCTGCTACAGACAAAACCATAGCATAGTCGTAACATATGTACCCTGCAAAATACATTGTTTTTTTTTTTCAAGAAATCATTAAACATTAAAGGGACCTCATAGCATTGCACGTTCAAACCAATTGTTGACGGATGAGTTGAAGGTCATTGAGAGCTTATGTTATTATATGAAACCTCATAAACATTAAACAGACCGAATTCTTGGGTTGAGGACCGTATATATTTGAAGCTGATTTTGGGGTCACTGTTTTGCTAAAAAGCCCTATGTATTGTCTACTATTTCTAAATAAACAAACTAAATACACAATTAAAGCTCAGCTCAACACTTTGCTTTAATAACTATTATGTAGGCTTTAAACATTTTACGAAGTCAAATAAACAGATACCGCTCAATCGATCAGTATTCATTTTTGTTGGACCGTTGATGGCATCCTGACAAAAAGGATCACTGACATTTATATAATGAAAGACAATACAGATTGATTTAATGGTATGCTACAAGAATATTTCACCAATAGTAGAGTCGTGAAAGCGTCGAAATGTGTCAAACCTGACTGAATACTTTTACCGTCGGTTTGGAATCAGAAGGCACCGTGCTAGCATATTGTAAACTTATTAAAATAAAACTTACTATCAATTATGATTGACGTTTCGGGGACGTCCAAGAGCGTCTGTCCAGGTATATACAGAATTTCTAACACTCCGCCATTCTGCGTCTGTGTAATCGAATGCTTTATATCAAAAGTTCCGTCTCCTTTAAAAAATTACAAGCACTGATGTAAAACGCAACAAACACTTATTGAATAGAAGATATTAATATATATTAAAAAGAAAATGTTGTTGTTGTTCGTTTTTACCTTCTATTGCCTTTTCCGTAACATTTTTGTATCGTAATCCCTTTTTAATTTACATCATGATTATTTTATCTGTGTTTATATCATGATCTCTCAAATTTTAAATCTTGATCTTTATCTGTTTGAATATCATGATCTTTATCTATGTTTATATCATCTTTAATATCATGAAATCGTAATTTCTAACTGTTTTCTATTATGACCTCTGTTTGTTATCATAATCACTCTAACTGTTTTTTTTATCATGATTCTCTTTCTTTTTATATATAAGTTCTATACTTCATATCATAATTTCTATCAGCTTAATCATGATTTCTATCATAATCTCTATCTATTCAATATTTTAGTATCTAATAGCATAGCACTGTGGACATGTATGACGCTATATTTTGAAAATTGTCCTCTCGTGTGTATGATATTCAGTTTATTAAGTATATATTTGTTAAATGTGTTTGTAATTATTTCTTAATAAACTGTGAGACTTCGAAACTATTTCAAATAAATCATAGTGAACTATATACTCGTATATAAAAAGACACAACTTACCATTTAGAACTTCAAAGGGGTATCCGATTGCTTAGCGTAAAACATAAATAACAAAGAAGCAATTAGAGTAGGTAAATGAGAAATATAGAACTATATAGAAATATACAATACAATTGTTGAGAAAACAATATTATTTCCTTCACAGTATATGAATATATTATCAAGTGACATAATAATGTTAAATATTTAAGTTATTTTGAATGATAAAGTTGAAAACAAACTTAATTCATATTAATTTCTTAAGATATAGCTAGATGAAAACACTGTAATTTCATAGTTAGGTTTTTGAAGAATATCCACCAGTTAAATGTCATGTTTAAAATTCGCCAGACATTGTAGGTACTTTTAAATGAAAGGAAAGTTAAATTTATAACGGACAATCCATGATGCGTATGCAACTTTTGTAATTACGCAGTATCTTAGAATTTCTGTATTTTATACTACGACACAATTAAGAAAGAACAGCATAAACTGCTTGTTTTCATATAATTACATACATTTGTTTACAACAGTGACTAAAACCCCAATAAGAAATGTTGATTCCGTCACAGACCGCATTTCTGAAAAGAAAAAAATCGGGGAAAAAAATGCAAATGCAAACGTCGTTATGTAATGTGAAAGCAATTAAACATTACAATAGAAATATCCATGACACCATTAATTACATTGCTTAGTTGATGAACGAAAGTCATTTACTAGGTTATGTTTATCTTATGTCATTTACTCGGTTATGTTTATCTTATGTCATTTACTCGGTTATGTTTATCTTATGTCATTTACTCGGTTATGTTTATCTTATGTCATTTACTCGGTTATGTTTATCTTATATCATTTACTCGGTTATGTTTATCTTATGTCATTTACTCGGTTATGTTTATCTTATGTCATTTACTCGGTAATGTTTATCTTATGTCATTTACTCGGTTATGTTTATGTTATGTCTTAATTACTCGGTTATGTTTATCTTATGTCATTTACTCGGTAATGTTTATCTTATGTCATTTACTCGGTTATGTTTATCTTATGTCATTTACTCGGTAATGTTTATCTTATGTCATTTACTCGGTTATGTTTATGTTATGTCTTAATTACTCGGTTATGTTTATCTTATGTCATTTACTCGGTTATGTTTATGTTATGTCTTAATTACTCGGTTATGTTTATCTTATGTCTTAACGGAGACACACCTTGTCCTCTTTTAAAAATAAAAAAGGGTTACCAAAAGCCACAATGCAAACGTCGTTTGTCAATGTTACCATTTAACAAATAGAAATATCATTGACAATTAATTAATCAGCTATTGAATGAACAAACATTTAGCTTTTTACTTAATTACATTATTTCCATAAACCAAATCAAAGGCGACAAGTAAATGGTGCATAAAAAATGTGATTTAAAATACTAGTAATTATATTCATTTAATGTTTAGAGAACTGCAGGAAATTTGTTGCGTGTATATGACATTACTAGCATCATTTATATTTCATGTACGATCCATGTAATCCGATACGGATGAACACAATGCATTTCAGTTTGAATGGGTTTTTTTTATTCCACATTATCATAGAATTCATTTCAGCGTAATTTTTATCATGTATCCCATGAAAACCGATATTGAATATTAAATTGCTGCAACCATTAAAATCCTTTTCAAAACGATTTTGTTATGTTTACTGTGTTGTACAAAGGGAATATAATCATGCAGAATTAATAGGAACAAAAGATCTTTTGAACTTATAAGTTGGCTATACAACCTCTCTGTCTAAATTATTCTGCTTGCGTAATCTGACTGAATTTGTTCAACTTGCTTAAAATATATCATGTTTGAAGATTGATTGCACCTGTCAAATCAATTTGCCAGTATCAGTTCAATCTGCATGATTTTCTTGCACTTTTATGGCAGAAAATTATGACATAATTTTTCTGACCCAGTAATACTAAGCAAACGTGCTTTAGTGCGAACTTCTACATGTTTTATCGTATCACCGTATGAATGATGTTTGAATAATAAAACGTTGCGAATTGGCAGTTGCATTTTTTTAAAGATTGATAAAGCAAGGTTTATCTCACATTCAGATATTGCGGAAATAACGCGAACTTCAATTTTGTTATTTGAGAGGCATGGCCATTACTCCAAGTTCTAAAAAACAAGCAACAATTTTTATTTTTGTTTTAAGTTATTATCTTACTCGAGAAGCTGGGACATGCAACCTCATATATTAATATAAATTATACAATTATTGACTAGTGTGCCATTGAATATGATGTGATATTCACCGGCAGATGACATATTGACCGAGACAATAGCCGAGGTCAATATGACTTTCTGCCGGTGAATATCACATCATATTTAATGGCACACTAGTCAATAATCGTTTTATTATATGAATAAGATGTAAGAATTTTAAAAAAAATCACAGATAGAACAAGTTTATACATGTACATCTTTCGCCTGTTTCGTTGAAGCGCGGGAAAAAGGCGCACGTGTCAGGCGTGCAACAAATACGCGAACGCCGGGCATACAAACATTATACTCATCCTTGCGGTGTTACCTTTAACTATAATAGTAGGTAATAATATTTAAATCGAGAAATATGTCATAATGAACAAAACGCAACACGCGTAATTAACAGTTTATGATATATGGTGATTAATATGAGTCTCAATCTATTTTTAGACTGGGAAAATCCAATTCTGCTAGTGAATATGATACTTCACCCAATGAATATGATTGTCGAATACTGTTTGGACCAATAGGATTGCAACTATATTTAGATCATATAATAAAAGATTGTATCTTAAATACGCATTTGATATTAATTTCTCAACTTTAAAAAATAAAATATATTCATTTGCTGTTTAATTTTTTTTGCTTCATCAAAATGCAAGTTAACCGGTTTATAAAAATGTTATGTATAATGGTATATACTCTTTCGGAAGAAGCTACTTGAAGTTTAGAGCTGACCACAGGCAAAACTTTATGTTGTGCAACTCGACGGTAATTAACACTACCATACGAAAGTATATATTCACATGGATGATATCATAATATATCTATTATGTAGTACCTGTAGGATGCAAATGCCAGAGTTATGCAAACCAACTGATCGACCAATTGCTAACGAGCGTGAACAAAGTATTTTAAACATTTTCACCAAAAACTGCAAGGCATTACAATTTCTTATGGACCATACACTGCTTTTCAGGGAATGGCTCGAAGGTGTCACATGGAAGATTCCATAATAACCGCCGTATGAACACATATGTGGCTTTCCCTAAATTCAAAATTTCACCATTTTCGTGTTTAAATTATAAGCCGGTGCTAGGGGTCGTTGACGGTTACTTGCACTTTCCAGTATTGTCAATCAAACCAAGCCTAAACTAATCGTTTTGTTCGTTCTTTAGGGAAAACGTTTTTCTCTATTTCATGTAACATTTAGACTTGAAATAAATAATACGTTATTTCTTTTGATATGTCAAAGAAGTCATCCGATGCACTAAATAATAAAGGTATTAACACATATTTTACGATAAATATATGAATATTTAGCAATTTAGAAAGTTTATAATTGGAAAACTAAATATATTCAATGATACAATATTGAATGGTTTTTAGACATAATTACATAAGTTGTGCAGGTTAAAGGGCGGATCTTTAGTCAGTATATTTTGGTTTAAATAATAATTACTCATTGGATCTAAAATGAACAAAATATGAGCCGTGTCACGAAAAAATCAACATAATGGGTTTGCGATCAGCATGGATCCAGACCAGTCTGCGCGTCGGCGCAGTCTGATCAGGATCCATGATGTTCGCTATCAGTTTTGCTACTTGTAATAGGGTTGGCAAGTGAACAGCATTGATCTGGATCCATGCTGGTCGCAAACGCACTATGTTGGTTTTGTCGTAACACGACACATATCAAGAAACAACAACGTTTATGAGAAAAAAGACTTTCGTTAATTCACAGACGAGACTCCTTATGTGTGTGTTTGCTTTTTACTTCAGTTTTGTGGATTAAAAATCATTATGTTTATAACTTCTAATGTGCGCAATATGTATTTATTTACGTTTGTATTTATTTACAAATATATTTGAAAATTACATCTGATATATGTAAAACTAAGATAAATATTCAACAGAAAAAACAATTTTATTTAATATTCTGTCCAAATTGTCATATTTATTATTAATATTATTGATATTGTCACTTTTCACATAAAGATCCTTTTTCTCACAACTCTAATTCTTAATCATATTTTAAAATAAAATTATTAAAATGAGCCAGCGATTTTATTTCAAATATGGCTTATACTTATTTTAAAATCAAACACTTTCAAAAGTATGATAAATACCTTTTAAAGTTGTAAATGCTTTGGCTTTTAAAATCCTCCACTGCCTTTCTCCCTGTCGTGAGTAATATACGCCTATTAATATTGTTTTTCAAAAGTCAGTGACAAAGTTTCGATAACAATTCAATTGTTAAAGTAAAACGGCCGTTTTACGAACGTGTACGCATGCGCATGAATATTTGCATTTTTCAAAATGATTGGCATTTATGATTCCATGTCTATGAATTTATCAAACCTAACAGCCTGGAAAGAGATTATTTCTGCGGTACGCCAAAGGTATGCAATGCCTAGAAATATTGCTCTACCATCCGATAGCTTTTACCCTTATAAAGTATTTAAAAGTTTTTATTGCTTTATTGCATTGACTAAAATATGCGCTATACATAGTTTTAATATCTGTGATATTTGAGCTTTTCAGTATAATAAGAAATTGATAGCGCTTTGTAATTGGAGAAGCCATTTGATGACATTTACCTTGAAAATAAACGATCACAATTATACAGTAGCTTTTGAAAACCGCATTATAATTATGGAACCACATGCCGAGATTCTGTTTGATAGTTACATTTTTTCGGCCACATGAATAAAAAAAACACACTAAAAGTAGTCGGATTTTTAACAGACGTCATTTTCTTTACATGCCATGGACAAACGATTACTTACAGACTGAAAATGACTTTTCTTCATCGCTTTACAATGCAATTGAAGTAGACGGTCGTTTATCGAATAATAGACTATTGATTTGTACATACATGTATGTGATTGCACGTATATCTGATTATTTAATGTGATTACCTGATACCTTATATAAATGTAATTTGGTATTTTTACTGTTTTCTGAAATTTTAAAAACGTCCACGTTCAAGAACTGTTGACCGGTCAATGGTTTTGACTGTTTCCCTCGCTGCTTGTGACGTCATAGAGAATTCCTTCTTTAAGCGTTAACATAATTGCAAAACTACTTTCTTGTTCCTTATTTTCTTTTGCAAGAACTGTTAAAACAGTTATTGTAATGTGTTAAAACAGTTATGATTTGGGACCAGGCAAACAGTTGTCCCTCGCTGTCGGGGATAGTGTTTAGAACTGTTGTCCTGGCCCTACGGCCTTGGGCAATAGTTCAAAACACTATCGCCTCCACTTAGGGTCAATAGTTTGACTATTTCCAAATCACATATGAAATAACTGTATACTGTTGTGCATATTTAGAAATAAACATTATAACACTTAATTACATAAATCAGCACCTCTCTGAATCTCACGGATCGATTTTTGTTGTTGTTGTTGTTGTTGTCGTCGTTGTTGTTGATTTTCAGTTGTTGATCTTCAGAGGAAGCAGACATGAAGTATTTAATATTGAATGCAATGAGCTTAAATCTTAATTAGTTAAAAATATAAGCACAATATACCTTAGTTATACGTATTACTTAAGTTGAAATAATAAAAATAATCTATGTTTTTTTATATATGTTTCCATAAATTATACTTATCTAAAATGGTTCTCCTTATTTTGAGTGAATTACATATATCTTTATCTCTTGTATTTTTGTGTATTTTAGCTCCGTTTTTCGAAGAAAACGAAAACAGCGGACGTATTGTCATTACCCAGAAGTCGGCATCGAGTTTGGTTAACCTTTTTGGTAAAATTAATGTTTATGGACATTAATATACATGTAGCAGCTATAACAATGAGTTTTATATCTTGATTCATCTTGGTGAGACCTACATATCACAACAACTTTAAGGTCATAAATTCAAAGGTGTCAATGTGACCTGTCAAATGTTAAGGTCCATTGTCTCAGAAACTACCAAAGCGCATGATTTCAAACTTTTTTACTCTTTTTACTTAGTCTTAATAATTACCAACATGTGATGCATTCATTACAAGGCACGATTGTCGTAACGTTATATTTATTAAAGTTTTACTATATTTTGGAGTGACTTGGTTCTCCATATTATATTGAATTTCTTTTGTTATTTGATTAAACAATCATTGCATATAGTTACTTTGAACTTGTAACACTTGTATGTGATCAAGGACAGATAATGCTGCCAAGAAGTTTTTTTTCAGAATTATGCCCAATTTTAACTGTGCTTTAGTTTGTGGCCTATACTATACGATCAGGTTGCGCGCTGCTAATCGGACAATTTTTGTTTTCTTGATTTAATCCTAGCATGAATCTATTATTATTCATAGTTCAGTTATAATAATATAATATTATTTCCAAGATGTTTCTTGTAAAAGGTCAACATAAAAGATTTCAAAGCTTAAAATATTATAATCTCATCCTTTTTTACCCCTTTTTAAACAATGAGGAATGTGTCCATTTTGGCCACTGACCCACATTTTATTGAAATTTACACTTAAATACGAAGTGAGTTCTTGTTTTAGTAAATTGATTTGTATTAATATATTCAGAAAAAGTGTACATTTTGTAGACAAAGTCAACATTTAGAACATTAAATGTTTATAAAGACAGATCTTGACAACCATACAATTTAACATTTTAAAAAATTAAGCCTAAGTCTGGATTGAAATTTTATTAACTGTTTATGAAAAAATATTCTGTTCTATTAATCTAATTTGCTCGTTGAATGTTAAAATTTGTTAAATATTTTATAAAGGATTGATAACTGGTATGGTAAATAATACCGACCAAACAAAGCATAAATATTGATTAATTGTTTGTGTTAACATTGCTTCAGCAATTCAATATGATTTCATCGTCATCATAGTAAAGTTGTTAAATAAAACATGCGTTTGTCGCTACATTAATCATCACATAAGCAACTGAATAATCAGAAGTAAAATTTGTTTAACTTTGCACTCTCCAAAATGTATAATTTGCTGCTTAGAGACTGTTATGATAAAAACTTTGTCGATGTCCGTTTTTGACATTGTCGATATCTGTTGATGACTCCGTCGATGTCTATTGTTGACATTGTCAATGTCTGTTGTTGACTTTGTCGATGTCTGTTGATGACTTCGTCGATGTCTGTTGTTGACTTTGTCGATGTCTATTGTTGACTTTGTCGATGTCTGTTGATGACTTCGTCGATGTCCATTGTTGATTTTGTCGATGTCCATTGTTGACTTTGTCGATGTCTGTTGATGACTTCGTCGATGTCTGTTGTTGACTTTGTCGATGTCTGTTGTTGACTTTGTCGATGTCTGTTGTTGACTTTGTCGATGTCTGTTGTTGACTTTGTCGATGTCTGTTGTTGACTTTGTCGATGTCTATTGTTGACTTTGTCGATGTCTGTTGTTGACTTTGTCGATGTCTATTGTTGACTTTGTCGATGTCTGTTGTTGACTTTGTCGATGTCTGTTGTTGACTTTGTCGATGTCTGTTGTTGATTTTGTCGATGTCTGTTTTTGATTTTATCGATGTCTGTTTATCGTTTTTTGACGTTGTCAATGTCTTATTGTAACTTCGATGATGTCTTTCGTTTACTTTGTCGATATTTGTTGGTGACATAATTTATATCAGTTTTTGATTTTGTCAATGTCTGCTGTAGTTTTTGTCGATATCATTTTTCATTTAGTCGATTTCAGCTGTTTACTTTGTCAAGGTCATTTTTAGACATTGCCGTTATTCGTTGCTGACTTTGAACTATTTGTCTTCATCGCTGTGTTGAACTTCTAACGATAGTCGTTGGCTTTGCTGATGTTTGGACGAAATCCATCTTTGTACGGAATGTTTGTAGTTCTACTAAAGTCAACTTGTTCTGACTAAATTTTATAAATGCTTTGCAAATATATACATTTTTGTATATATTTCTTAATGATCCTGAGTAATAAATTGCACATTTTCTTTAAAAAAAAGATCATTTTACTTAAATTTCACATTGACCTTTTGATTCAAAAATGCATTTGACAATATTATGCATTTACAGACCCAGATATATTGACCTTTTGACCTGAAAATGGTATGACATGTAACGCTCATTACGACGATCTCCGTACAATATGTCAATCTAATAACTTTTGAATTAAAAGATAATAAATGATAATAAACGAAATTTAAAATCCTAGCTTATTTTACCCAACCATATAACAAAAAATAATCCGACTCAATTAAATGCCAACCTGATCAATTTCTTTTATAAAAAAATAATGTCATCATACAAAAACGTGACACAATTAAAGCAAACACTCTATTTACTCAACTTATAGCTTACCCGACTAAACTTTAATGCCAGGTTGACTCAACTAATTGTTAACTAACCAAATATATCAATCTCTTTTAACATTTTCATAAGCGAGTGAAAGATAAATCTTCGTTTATATTTCTCACAGACATAGAATGTCTCAACATCCAAAGAATTCATCATGACTTTTATTTATTTATTGTTGTTTTATTATTATCATTATCATAATCATTATCATCATTATTAATTTATTTATTCATTTCTTTGTTTATTTATTTATTTATTTTCTATTTATTTTTTTATTTTTTTCTTTCTTTAATTATTTTATTTTTTTATTTTTTTCTTTCTTTAATTATTTTTTTTTTTTTTTTTTTTTTTTTTTTTTTTTTTTTTTTTTTTTAGTGTTTTTATTTTTTGGTTGTTTTTCTTTGTTAGTGTTTTTATTGTTGTCTTTATTAAGCTTATCTTTCTTTCTTTCTTTTCTTTCTTTTTTCATTCTTTCTTTCTTTCTTATTTTCTTTCCTATCGGAATGATGACCTGAAGAGTTTTTTTTAAAAATATCTCATATAAAAGATCTCATTTTTAAATGTACCTGAAATTACCCATGCATTCATTTTTATACTGATCATAGTTGGGTTGAAATTATTTAAATCGTATGATTGTCATTGTCAAACAACATGTATAATTCAAAACGTTATCTGATAATTGCTCACTGGCTGCCATTTATAATATTCAGTTTCCACTATTGTCGTATTCCCATGTGAAGTCCTTTACATTGAATAAACAAATAGTTTATTAGAAAATTGCGTTAAATATTTAACATGTTAGGCTTAACGTTCGTCTTTGAAAAAAGGTATGTAATTGAATCAGACCTCCCTTGGCGGCTTAGATATTTTAAAACTCAATTAAAATCTATTGAAGATGGAAGTAAAGGGAAAAATGAAAAGAGATTAAACTCCTGTCATTTTCACTCCATTTGTCATTTTATGTCAACATTGTATTTTATTACATAATATGATAACCAGCTATGTGGAAACGAACGAAAGAAAGAGTTGTAAAGTTGAGCTGAATAAGAATTGTATTTAAAAGATGGACTTTCATAATGGAGATTGACTAACAATTGATACTAAAAATGAGCCGCGTCAAGACAAAACCAACATAGTGCGTTTGCGCACCCGCGCAGTCTGATCAGGATCCATGCTGTTCGTTATCAGTTTCTCTACTTGTAATAGGGTTAGTAAGCGAACAGCATGGATCCTGATCAGACTGCGCGGATGCGCAGACTGTTTTGTGGCATGAACATTATAAAATTGATTATAATGCATGCACCCATCTTTTGATAAATTAACATCACTTATTAAATGCTACATAATACATTTGAACGAAATTATAACGTTTTCAGTTTGGTCTCGTAGATAATTGATAATTGATAAAGTATAAAACTGAACACGGTTCTAACAAAAATTTGAAATTATTTTTACTTTAACCTGTGATTTTTTGGATGGGCATTATGTCATTTTAATGTAAAACAGATCAAACAAGATGCTAAAATAAATTATTGATTGTTTGAAAGTATTTTTCCAAACGTCTAACATTTAATTTTTTCACCGACGGGCAATTCATGTCTCTGTAGCAACTTTTCTGTATCATATATAGTTTTGGGGACCTTTCTGTGGAAAATGTGTCAATGAGTTAATTCGTATACATACACATGCACCGTGCGTTAACTGGAGTGCAGGTATTAGTTATACCCGCACTCCAGAGCATACCGACTGATTTGCTCATTTCGCCTTGGGTTTACTTATTGGGACGGCAGATGGGGATAACGATAGATATACCATATTCAGATTATCATTGCATGTGTGTGAGCGTGTACATGCGCGCGTACGTGCGCGTGTATGTATATTTCAATGTATGTATGCTACATACATTAGTGTCTTTTCATCTGTTTTATATGACGAATTACGTTCACGTGAACGCAAAATAACAAGAAAGATATCCAAAGTAAATATTTAAAAAAATAAAGTTGCGTTAAAATTAATTACAAAATAACAAACTTCGATTTGATGTGTGTTTAATTCATACACATGAAGAAACAAGTGTCTACAAGTATTCAAAGCTACAGATTAAATGGAAAATTCATTAAATATTTAATTGTTTGTCGGAATGTTTTCAATGTACCTTGTTAAAATTCATGAGCACACTCTGAATATCAATATGGTCACGTAGTAAAAAATATTTCAGAGGAGTTCGAGGCTAAGTATTTTGAAAGCATTTGTTATCGTCTAGTGCGCAATATAATTAAATACGCTCATATCATGTTTTTCTCATTTTTCATTCAGATAAAATACGAAATCTAATGTCCGATTGTCAAATTCTATAACACGTGCATTGATATAAATTAAATTTTTTGATATAATATTTTACATTTTGTATTAATCATTTTAACTTAAAATGTAACGAAATTCATTTTACATCCATCAGGAGGTCGTGATTTTCAGTTTAATAGAAAATGAATAATCTAGACTGACAGTTGAAATTCATCGCAGAGTTGTACTAACCAGGTCAATTAAATGTTAAATGGTCTTCAATTCTTGCACATTTCTTTAATGATCTTCAAAGTACTGCGCACTATTTTACCCCTCAGACTGAGGGGTTACCAATAATGGTTGAGGCATCAGAACTGCAGCCACAGTTTATCTCTGCGTGATTGTAAGAGGCGACAAAATACGTTCGAATTATTGGAGTCTATGCATCTCTTAGCTCCAGCAGGTGTGGTGGTTTTGATCCATGGCGTTGCTTAAAGTGTGTAACACCCGAGGTAAGTCAAACTCACCTTTCCTGTTCCGGTGCCATTTGACCTAAATTGTGTTAGTGCGCGGTAAAACAAAACAAAACAAACAAACAAACAAACTGCGTACTGTTTCTTAGATCTGGAAAAGTCCAGTTTGCAGCTTTAATAATGTGCATTTCATCAATTCTCTGCTGTTATACCCCACTTAGCAATCTGATAGAAAATGTGGTAGTGTCCACTCACTAGGACATCTTTATTGGACTACTTACGTCATCAAAAAGTACATAATTTGTAGGCCCTCTGATATTTACGACATAAAAAAGGAGATAAATTTATATAAAACGATAAAGTAAGTTTAGGTTCTTTTACACACTCAGACACTTGAAATGTTTCATGGCATTGCTCAAGTAAAAATTTGGCGCCGTCTTTCGGTGAAATCTTTACAAAGCATAATTAGTGGAAAAGTAATGAGCACTTTATCCTCGGTAACCCAGGCTATTTACCGTACCTGTATACCACTATTATATTCTCTAAAAGCATATGTAGAAAAGGTAAGATATGAAACAAGCCTTCTTTGATACAAAAAGTTATCTAAAACCGGTTTACTCGCAAATGTCTACACATGATGCCATTGGTCCTATACTTAGTTCAATACAGACGCCGATATAAGAAAGAGCACAACAAAAAGAAAAGAACCACGTTTGCTAGTAGATGAAGATACATCGTCTGTGTCCATAAAACGTAAATTCTTTCGATACAACATTATATCTTTGCCACTTAATGACATGGTGAATGCTTCAACAAAGCCATTGTTAGATCTTGTGAAATTCACTTGGTACATAAGCACGATGTTTTCCCCTAAAACTCTCTCAATAGCATATTCCCATGGTTCAGTCATTCTAAACTGAAAGTCGTTCACCTTAGCTGTAGGAAGGAGCTCGCCTTTGATGCGATTCATTTCTAGCCAAAGGTATCTATCATCTTGGCCACGTTCCTTTACAGATAAAGTTATATCCGGAAGGAGCACGTTACCATATGTCCCTATAAAGTCATCAATTCTATCGTTCGTGAAGTTAATCGTCTCCGGACCAGAATATTTAGTGTTGTTGACCCAGGGGCTAGGATAAGAGCATGCTGTTTCAAAATCCAGCCACGGCGTCTGTCCGAGTAAAATGTCCGACGCATATGATAATATAGTTCTTAAAGCATAGCCCGGTGCTGCAACTGTTCCCGGACCATTAACATTAGCAAACACTCCAATCTGCTCATCCGGATACAGCCAGATTAAAGAAATGTATGAAAACAGTCCACCACTGTGCCAGATCCTTCGAAAATCTAAAGAAAAAGGTTTTGGTATATAATTATGTTTCTTACATGAAAAACAAATAATAGTGAAATGCATTTTAGTGAATTCCTGGCAGCGTTACATTGATGGTGAATCGATGCATTCTTGAACTGTTATTAATTAAAGCAATTTTAAGTCATTAATGAAGCAAACCTTTTATTACTTTAAACATATCAAGTTTTCTTTGTTGCGAATTTTTCCAAACAAAAATCTTTCTAATCAATATTTACTTTTGTTGTTCGCCTACTATAACCTCAATAGGGAGAGCAAAGGATTTGTATTCCAGTTGTTGCTGGTTCGATCCTCGATCGAGGCGCACTTTCTACGTGTCGTTTGATCTCGGACATTGAAACTTATAGATATTTGTCTTTCACCACTTATTTAGAAATTACGTGAGATTAGCTGTGTGAAGAAAATAGACATAACTGGTTAGCAATCCAGGTTAGGTGGACTGAATGTCGAGATATGTATGGCTTAAATGTTTTTAAAATCGACTTCAAGGCAAGACGAACAAACAACTTACCTCTGTATGATGATATAAACCAGCCGTACCCGTAGGCTTTCGTCAGATCATCTATTGGATACTTAGGTTTTGCTTGACTTACGAAAGCACCATCGTAACGAAAACTATTGTGTTCCTAGTAAAAGAGAAAGGGTCAAGAAATAATCGTAAAAGAAATTAACAACAGTTATCCGTTTGTAAGTTTTGTCAGATTTAAGTAGATATTTTGATAGAATAACATAGTGAATGTTTAAAAGCTTTCGCTCTTCTTTTAACAATCAATATTACACAGACTTTGAAAAATATAAAGAAACGAAAAGAAAAGAGAAAATTACAGAAGTAAAAAGAAAATACGCAATACAGCAACTATAGTAACAACAGTATTTATAGTGTCTCCAATAATTGTATCAATTTATTTTAAAATAAATCACCTGGAATGCCTCCTGTAAAAGATGATTTGCAATCAACTGATGACCGTCGTCGGTTGTACCATTTCTTAGGTTAAACCTCATCCATTGTGCCATGTCATTAGCACTTGACATTATTGCACCAGCCGGTTCTAATGGCGTCATCCTTTTTTATTACAACACCAATTAGACAATTCAATGTCAAGAAAATAAAAAGAAACATTATAATCATAGATGTTTTTCACATAGCAATTATTACTTCCCCTTGCCGCGATTTTGAGGCACATTCCCAATATGTTATATGCTTAAGATTAGATAAAAAAATTATTCATAATTATAAAATCATCATGAAAACTGATACAAAATACATATTGCTACTATAGTCAGTTTTGAACATTGTATGCACTTCAGCGGGCTGACGGATCGGTCACTATATCAGGGCGCGGAGCTTTAAGGTTCTCATTGATGTGTACCATTTCTTAAATAGCACGATAATGATATCGAAACCCTCATTATCACCTAAGAGTGCGGCATTTGGATTAAAGAGAGATGATAAACAATAATCACGCTCATCTGTTACTTATTTTTCATAATCCTCCCGCATCGAGGTGTCGAAGTTATAAAAATATAATTATGACTTTATACAAGAGAATATTACATATCATACAATAAAATTTGTATTTGTATGCTTATTTAAATACTTGTATATATCGTAATGTCCGTCTTTAAGCTGATCCCCTGGCATAATATACGGCTTGGCAACGTTATCTTCTAGGACATCCGTTGATGATAACAACACTTTGGATGACGTCATTCCAAGTGGTTCCAAAACGCGTGATGTAATCAAGTGCTCCCAGGACTCAATTCCAAGTAATTCTGTTATGTAACCAATCAGCATATACATCATATTATTGTAAATGAACGATTCCCGGAACTCTGTACTTTTCGGGATGTACTTTGTGCGCCTAAAAATACAAATCAGATACTGTAAAAAATTATAGAATGTAACAAAATACTCTGTTTTTATATTACATCATAATTATTGATATAAAGAAACATTGGTACCAGTGGCGTTTATTATTATCTCTTGCTTGGCAGTGTTAAATTAAGTGATTTAAGATTCAGATGACATAGTAAACACTTTCGGATACCAGCTATTTCATTATTACAAGAGCTATAAAGAGGCGTAACTCAAAATTGTTTAATTTTACCAAATTTTCAATGTAATAATACACGTGTGTATATCAAATAAATAATGTTTGGCACTTTTCAAATCTTACTTGCTAAGAAACTTTCTATCAGTACCCTCAGGGTATCCAGCAATAAATCCGTAGTCATTTACGCTAGACAACCCGGTTCTGTGAGCTAAGAGATCTGCAATAGTTGCTTCCCTTGTTACCTTTTCATCAATAAACTGAAGGTTCAAGCCTTTGATTTCATTCAACTTTGTGTTCCACGTATAGCTGTTATACAGAAAAAAAAAGATATTTGAATGTTGAACAATTATAAAGCAGATGCTTTTGGGCATGGATAAATATCACTATCGACCATGAACAAGCACAATCAAACGCAGTGGCAACTTTCTGTTTTGTGATTTTGACTACATGTTAATGTTTCCATTTGATCAATTTTATCTATTTTACTTTTTGGAGGAGCAAAACTACAATCATGGTAGATTTCAACAGTTTACGATAAATGAAAATCTTAATGATTCTGAATACGACAAAATTTTATAGATATCATCATATTTTTCTTGTTATGATATTTGATTGAAAATGGTATTTCGTTATGTCAGTATTAGTTTAGTTTATACCTATTTATTTTAGTTCGATTGTTTTGGAAGCTATAAGCTTATTGACACACTCTCGAATCCGTTTCTGGAACAATGAAAGTAAACTTTCATGTATTTTTATAGTCATATATATTACGCAGCGTAATAGAATATGAGACATTTCAGTATGATGATTAGTGAGATAAGTGAACTTGTTGCACTGCTACTGAATGTAAACATACATTTCAAAGAGATTGCAAAATGTAAGCAAAGTAGTATTTCTACTTCCATGAAAAATTGAAAAATACTAAATCATTATAACAGTACGAATCGCCAAACGCAAATAAGCAAAGGATGGTTCATCGTTACGGCCAAAGAGTTACATGTTTTTGTTGTTGTTGTTTTTTTGTTTTTGTTTTTTTTTTTTTTTTTAATTCTATTTTTTGGAGGAGGTGTTTGTTTGTTGTTTTTTTCTTGTTTTTGTGGTTGTTGTTGCTTTGTTCTTGTTTTTGTGGAGGTTTTGTTGTTCTTTTTTTTTTCTTCGTTTTCTTTCACTGTAACAATGCACAAAAACAGATTTTGAGCAACAAAAGAAGCTATCAATCAATACATCAATCAATATAGTATTCTCTATTTGAGGGGGTGTAAGGAATGATTGATGAATGAATATCACTTATAAGATAATAAAATAATTATCAATTATTCAAAAGATACCTGACTTTCCACGTGTGGCTTTTTTATTCTGTTCACACTTTCAACAGATGTAATAACATTGAAATTTGAATTACAAATCATCTTATGCAATATACTGCGAACATGCTATTTTTTCCAGTTGCAGTACAGTTACACATAAAGTAGAGCAATAATTCAGTTTCTAGAATAATTTATTTTGCGAATAAGAAAGAAGACGAAAAGAAATGTGCATGGATATGATTCGTAAATTTTGTGTAAATTTTACAAGATTTATCTGCACTTAATTTGTTAATATCCTAACTAATGAACTAACCTTCCACTTCTGTACTGAATCAGATACATTTATTAAAGCAGCATGACCACTTGTTAATTTTCAAGAACATTTTGAAAATGTATTTAAAAGTAAAATATTGTAAAGTGAACAATGAAGGTAATTTTCACGTAGCAAACGACTCTCACAATCCACGTACCTTGCCAGAAGATGTCAACATATCAAAAATATCCCATACTGCGTTTGTCATATAGTTGAAAAATGATCATCAGTATTCGTTCATCATAAGTTTGTATTGGAAAAATAACAAACACTAGACAAGAAATACGTTAAAAACCAACTGTCTCTCTTAAATTGTTAGTGTAATAGAAAATAAGATTCATTTCCTCCATATATGTCCAAATTATTATAACTGAAGGAAACAATATGTAATCTTTTTGTAGGTGGCCTACTATTAAAAACCGAAATGACTTTACCAGTATAGAGATACATTAATGACAAGAGACATAACCGGCTCTTTACTCATGGCTGCCTAACTTTAGAAATTTATATCTTGATATTACAAGATTGATAGACAGTTGTAAAAAAGAAAGCTTAGAAAAATGCATAGCCTGAATTGGATTTCTCCAATCTAAAATATAATATTATTTATATTTATATATATCCATCGTAGACTGCATGCGCATAAATACTAACTGTTGCATTTTGTTCTTTATGGGCTTTTTCTCGATTAAGATATAATTAAGTTACAAAAGTTATTAAGAGTTACACCGCAATGATGAGTATAAACTTGAATTACTTTTGTTCGCAGTCGTTGAACGCATTACACGTGCGTCTTTATCCCGCGCTTCGTTTGTATTACTTGTCTACAAATCCATATGACCGGCTGAAATATATGTACTATCTTTGAGATTGTATCAGCAAGTTCAATTCTTGAAAATAATGCAGCAGTCTTTTTATAATTAAGATAGTTTTTACTTTGTATCATACATATTTTTATCATCAATTAAAGATCAATCGACATTATTATAGCCAATCTTTTAAAAAATATATATCTTATTCAACTCAACTTGACAGCGAAAATGATCATGTCACTTTATAATGTTAAAGCAATAGGACTCCAGATGTGTGCCAATATTCATGAAAACTTTAGAATTGTTCTAATGTGTACAAATGCTGTTAATCGGATTAGTAAAGTTCTTTTAGTCGCGTGCTGTAAATGACTTTACTCCCGCGCGCCGTTTATGAAATGAATTGCATTCTTATAGTAACGTCATATTGCCTTAAAAATGAAGTTGTAAATTCATACGCTACTATAAGAAAATATGCTTAATAGAATATATATACATGTAAATCATCTCTAATACTGATTCATAAGTTCTTTCCGAATAATATGTAATATGCAAGAAAAAGAATCAAACGCCGGCTGAATATAGCTCTCGGGTAAATGTTTAGCGGAAACTCGGCGGAGTCTCGTTACCGCCGTCAACAGTAACCCTCGAGCTAGATATTGCGGTCTGTGACAGCAGCCGGTGTAAGATCATTTGTTAGATTGAAAGAGCATTTGATTTTAGATATAGTGAATTAATTTTGGTAATAAAACAGTGATTTTGGTCATATTTTGCACAGCGATTCTACTTGACTGTGTGTATGAATTAAGTTCTTTGAGATTAAAAACTTGAAACTCACAGCTATGAGTTTGAATCCTGTTGTGGTCTTTGAAAATTTTCATGTGGTGAAGCTATCAATCTAATTTACAGAACGTCGGATAATCAAAGATGCTCAAGTTACTTAAAAACCACCAAAATATAAATTTCTTAAATAATTATACAAGTGTGCGTTTCTTTAAGTTTAAACTTTAAAGTATTCACGACAGCACGAGGCGTTAGGCGTTAAGTAATTAATCCTTATGAATACGAAACGCTTTGAAATACTTGTACTTTAAAGTTTCTTCTTTATGATAAAATTACATACTTGAGTTCTGCTTCTTACCTTTCAACTGTGTAAATAATGCCATCCCTTATACTAACTCAGAACTATGGAGTACTCTTACAAACAATGTCAGCATAGAAAATAGAGATACAAGATACCACTTAGGTTTATTTGCTAGAGTATGACATTGGGCTTACTGTAAACATAACTGTTTATACATCCTTAAATGCAACTTGATAATTGAATTAACACTTGTAAACCGAGTCCGTAATCACACTTTGAAATACATTATCTCAATATCTAGATATATTTGATTAGTATTAATTTCTAAAACCCATAATAATGTTTTCTTATTTAAATATTGCTTTTATTGCCTTATTAAATCAAATTAAGGGAAAAGAACTGAAATTATTTGTTTGTTGTTTTTTTTTAATTTATAAGTTGTATAGCCTTGTCCATGACAACCACAGTATGAACACATTTTCGGATGTTTCTAGATTCAGAATTTCACCATTTTAATGTTTAAATGTTTAAATTCTGCTTAAGCCTGTGTTACGGTGCTAGGGTTCGTGGACGGTAGCTTGCATATGCCACTACCGCCCAAAAACAGGCTCAAATAAACCAAGCATGAAACATTTTCATTTTTGTTGTTTTGTGTGCTTTAGAGAATTTGTTTATCTCTATTTTGTATTACTTAATAAGCATTTAGACCTACACACTTGTTATGTAAATCAAAAGATGAACAATCATCCAAATGAACAGGTATCCAGCGTGCCAAATATATATCACAGGGCAATATATAATACAACAAAAATTCATGCCCCTAGTACCAACTCAATCAGTATACAATCCTCAACAAAAGTACATGTATTGAAAGTAAAGATATCGATGGAGAGGAAAAAAATATCAACACTTATATTAATGTGAAAAAAGGTAGATTTTATGGCTGCCTCTAAGCACCTCTGCCGTTGAGACAATATTAGAAATTTAGAACAATGGAAATCCCTTAAAAGCAATGAAAATGATATGATAATCGCAGACTCGGTTTTTAACGGGTCTGTTCGTGAGAAATAATGAAAGTTTTAACGTCTAACACGCAAATGTATTGAAAAGCTGTGGTTTCCGTGACGATTACATTACAATCCCCCTAGAACAGAACAAAATAACTGGTTCCTTAATGCTACAGACAAAATAATCTTTTCATTTCCAAGTAAATAGGTTTACTATGAAGTTGATATTTTTTCTATATTAAGTGTCACGTTTTTCTAAAATAATAGCATAAATGCTAATTTATGTTTCCTGAATTCATCGCATTTACAAACTGAAATTTGTTTATACAATTTACCCTAGCATGATTACAATAACAGATGTACAGATAAAATAGCCTACATTACACCGAATAATTGTCCTAGTATTTGAGGAAAAAAACAAATAAAAAAATCTAAAAACTAAAATGTTTTGAACAATTTGTTATATTAGCACATCATAGTGAGAGAAACACAGGTATGTTCCCAGTCAGTAAATTATTCACCAACCAGATACAATTCAAGGAGATGACTTGGTTTGTTTTGTTGTTTTTGTTTGTTGTTTTGTTTTTTCGAGTTTTCCAGACTTTTTATTATAACTTATTTTATCTCTTGATTACTTTTTACTTATTTTTTACCTTTTTTATTCTGATTTACTTGAATGGTATTTGAGCTATACGCGTTACACATATGGATATTTTTTTTCTAGGGTATATGAAACATAACTTACACATCTACGACATAGATAATGGCAGCCTAGATACTGGCACCGAAACGCATCTCAGTTATTAATAGAATCAGAATTAGGTTCAGAAAATATGTTGTTGTGCATTATTTCATATTTTGTTACAAATGAAACGGAAAGTTATAACTGCAGGATGTTCCATTATTTTTTATGATTCACTTTGTATAATATCATTTCATTTTCTTTAAACGTGTTCTGTAAAGAATCTTCTCATTACCAAGAAGAAAAAAAAAACATTACAAATGGGAAATATTTTTCATCTTAACAACTAGAAGGGTAATGTAAACATTAGCAAATTGGATATAGCAAAGAAATGAAACCAGATGTTCTTACGATAACGATAATAAAAAATCCTATACCTTCGTGTAAACATCATGTGCTTACCAATATCAACTAAACGTACTAAGCAGTTAGTTATCTAACTTTTTAAAACAATCTTGTGTATTGAAATATTTATTTTTATAAGAATAAAGTGTAGAGATATTTTTGCACATATCGTTTTATATGAAGAAACATGTATTTCTTAGTACAACGTATGCAAAGTGTGATATGTTTTTGTTTTTTGTTGTTTTTTTAACTTTCTTCTTTGTATACATTCCAGTGTTAATTATGTGTTACAAATATCTTTTTTTGTCACCAAAAAGTCAATGAAATAGATACGTAAGAACTTACTTTGTATTTTGAATAAAAATTCCAAGTAATGTCATGGTGAACGCCTTTCCTAAGGAACCAATGGCAAACACAGTATCGTTTGTTGCTTCCCTTTGAGACTTCATATCAGCAAATCCAAATCCGCGAGTCCAAGTCTTGTTTCCTTTCACAATGGCAAGATTCATACCCGGTATGTGGCGGCAATTCATAACATTGTCAACGAATGCCATTATATCATCCTCTTCATTCTTTGTAAAAAGTTCCCCGTAAATTATCGGTATTAATAAAGCTATGATTAGAAATTTAATTGAACCTTCCATAGCGAATATTTGTATAAGAATCTATTTTGATATTATCCTGGTTTGAAAACTTATTTTTTCAACACTTGCAAGTTTCTTTACAATCTATTTCATTTGTATTCTGATTTGATATCTAAAAAATCCTTTTTCTAACACTTTCCTTACACGTTTTATAACAAATTACTCATTACTACTTACTATTGTTTTTACAAAACCCGCTCATACAACTCTTGCTCTGTTCAGCTTATTCAGCAAGTGAAGTAAAGTACATGCTGCATTCAGTATTCAGCCTAACATTTTCGTGAGTGATCAGCAACAATATTAAGGCAAGACAAAAATGCAATTGTTTTTTCAATGGTCAAGATAAAAGTTACTTGTATCTTAACATTCGTTTTTATATGTATTCAAATTTCTTATTGTCCCATACAATTTTAAACATTGTTGAGTTTTTACTAATATATTTCTCGATTCAGTTCATTCTTTTATATAAAACCGAGTTCATCTACAGTTCATATTAAAATACAAAAGGTATGACGTGCTAGTTCGTGTTAGGTATTACATTTAAAATTGATACTGTGTACATACATAAATGAACTAATTTGTCTCGCCTAATTGCACTTTTGTACGACGGATGCTGGCTAATTAATTGCACGAATTGATAATTTGATACTTATAGTGGTTTGTGACAAATATATTGAAATGAAATCATGTAAAGTAATGTTAACAGTTTTTGTTCCTTGTTTTATAAATATTAAAGATATATTATATATTTAGTTTTAATTAGATTTTTATCTTAAACCTTCAAGATGAGAGAGCTAGAAAAACAAGTTTCTTTTTTAATTAAAATAAGTATTTGGCATTAAAGTCACTCAATATGTCGAAATAAAACTGATTATTTTCGCGCCATCTTTTTAAGAAAATACCTAGTCGTAGATTCAATTTAAAAATATGTAAAAAAGTGATCCCTTTTAAGCAAACATGAATCACAACTCAATTACATGAAAACTGCAGAGCCGTTTGATTGAGTCTTTACATCAGAGATTATGAAAATTTTCAACATACCCCTGGAACCGTTTTCAGCGGAAGTCAATTTTAAACACTTAAAAGTGCTGAAATCATTGATCCCGAAAGAGACAAAAACATAACAGCGCTGAAGTGAAGTACATGGAAACTTTTACTCCTGCCACACGGAACTTGACATCTGCTGTTGTGAAGTATAAAAAAGTGGGGATACATGTAATATCTCGGAATCATTAATCACAACAAAATTACATGAACATTCATCTGCTGTTGTGAAGTATAAAAAAGGGGGATAATATCCCGGAATCATTAATCACAACAAAATTACATGAACAAAACATTAATTCCCTCTCCTTTTTGTAAAACTATCATAACAAAACTACATAATTAAACTTTATAAATCTGTTACTGAAGTACCCACTTATAGGCTCACACTAAAATACCTGGTCGTTAACAGCAGATTCAATTTAATATCTGGAGAAAACGTGACCCTTCGGAGGCACTAATAAAAACAAAATTACATGAAAATTCAGTCTCGATATAATCGAGTCTTTACCTGAGAGATAATGAATAAGTTCACAATCTTTCACGCCCCCTAGCACTTGCTTGAGCGAAACTCAATTTTCAACACTCAAAAGTGCTGTAATCAATGATCCAAAAGGACCAGGAAGATATAACTACACTGAGGTGAAGTTCGTGGAGACTTTTTACAGCTGCCACTCGGCACTTGACACCTGCTGTTGTAAAGTATTAAAATTTGGAGGAAAAAATGATTCCTCGAAAGCATTAATCACAACAAAATAATATAATGGAACATTAAACATTTGCAAATACCAACATACAAATAAAAACAGTCGTAGCACAGTCTCACACTAAAATACTCGGCCGTTAACAGCAGATTCAATTTAAAAATCTGGAGAAAAAGTTACCCTTCGGAAGCATTAATGACAAATAATACAGAAAATTGCAGACTCGGTTTGATTCAATCTGTACATAAGAGATAATGAAAAAGTACAACATCTGTAACTTACGCTCCCTAGCATCGGCTTGAGCGGAATTTTTTTTACACTTTAAAGTGCTGAAATCAATTATTCCGAAGAAGCAGAAAAACTTTACAACACTGAAGTGAAGTACAGAGTAACTTTTGACAGCTGCCACACGGTACCTGACACTTGCTGTTGTGAAGTATTAACATTTTGAGAACATGAGATCCCTCAGAAGCATTAATCACAACAAAATAACATGAAAATTACATTAAAACAACATGATTTGTTCGTGAAACTATCCAATAAACCAATGTGTACGTTCATTAGATTCTGTTTAATCTTACTTTGCTGTGATTTTATATATATGTTATTTATTTATTTGTTTTTATGTTTTTATTTATTTATTTTCATCTTTGCATTTGCATGTTTTAGTACATAAAACACTTTACGGACTGAGTATGAGGCTTTCTTATAAAAAAGCTTTTTGAAAACTCTCATTCTTATCTTATCAATATTTCACAAATTTCTTATCTTTCTAGACATATTTATTTGTTTGTTTCTTTTTTAAATCTTTTTATCTTTAATTTCAATGGATGATGAAATAGTTAATTTCTTAGTTCAACTAGAATATTGTTCCAATTGTTTTAATCTAAGATAGTAAAAATGAAAAAGAGTAGAGTTGAGTTTGACAGAAGATATTTCAAGACATAATAAAAGTACTTTGCAATTTGTAAATTGTACTTTAATGAAATTGTTCTACTGTAAAGGGAACTATGAAAAAGATATTGTGGAGTAAGATAATTGAACATTTTATATAGTAGAGTATGTTATGTTGTAGCGCGTTACTTTAAGAGGTTGTAAGTAAGTCTCTTCAAAATGATTTGAGAAAGCAACAAGGTTCGTTGTATCGGTTATTATAGTGCTGGCTTCAAGTTGGATTTTTTCTAGCTCAAAGTCATCTTGTTGAGCAATATTATCCCAAACTACATCTGAGGATTCAAGAAGAGGTCGGACAAAAGAAAAATATATATTTCAAATAAAATGCGATCAATACTGATTTTAGTAATGGATTAGTCCTGCTTTGAATATCTAAATGTTAAAGTTTAATGATTTCAATATAAAAATATAGAAAATGATCTTTAAGCAGTCTAATGTTTGACTTAATACTGGTGACAAAGCCTAAGTACTGTCGGCTTCTAAATAAGAACATTTAGTTACGGGTTAATTACAATTGTTGATATACTTGCTCCAATTGTTACAGTTAACATGATGAATGTATATTAATTAAAACATTTTACATGGCGTGTAAGATTATCATGCTCATATCTGCCAGACACATGTGAAACTACGGAACTAATCAAGCGTGTATCTAGCATAGCACCTATTTTTTAAAGCTTGTGTGAGCAGTTTGTTTCTGGCCAGTTAATAAGTGAGTTTAAACTTAACTTCTTTATTATCGTTGGCCCTGATATTTGGTTACAGCTTGATGTGACATCGATAGTTAGGGACACTATCGTCTAAACGAAATTAGTTGTTAATACTTCGTACAGTTTTCTGATGATTTGTAATTATATTAAGCTGTATGTCTGCAATCTTTCATGGAACTTTATTTAAAACACACATATTTTGATTAAAATACTGTTGAATATGTTATGAAGACATACTTTGATGAATAAGCAGGTACTAGAAATTCAAAGCATATATTATGTCAAGCATATTTGTTGAAATAATGATTGATCGATAAAAGTCGCTATTTCATAGCAGACTCAAAGTACTCTTCTGAAGTGATGTCCATTAGAATCACTTGAAATTGCAAATGAATAAAGGATATCTTCAAAACCATAACCATTTTGTCAGTTACTTATATGGCTGGATATTTGTAGACTTTGCATTAGGTGAATATGAACAAACGGCACAGGTGAGCTCAAAACCCTCTCTATATGGCGGACATTTGAGTGATCCACAGCTGCCACTAACGAAGTAGAATAATTTGCCATTATGATTGGCATAACCACCGGATAACGCTTCCGGCTGATCATCAATACAGATAAATTGAGACGGTGATACATGCTTGTGATGGCTTGACATTAGATAGCCCTTGTATTCCAGTTGGTAATTGTCGTGGCAGATATTTCGTCCTGGTACCATCAACAAGTTATTCCTTGGTATTCTACACACTAAACACGGAATGTCTTGGTCATGTAGATGTTTCCATGATGAATGGTGGTGTGTCTCATACTCTGCACCGTATATAACACCATCATAAACTCCAGGAGTATATTTGTCGTATATTGGATTCTTTGGTAGACATAAAGGGTCGACAGCGGTTCCACTATGTTTGTAATGAGATCCTGCTGCGTATCCAGTGTAAACTTGGTATGCAGTGTCTGGGCATGTTGTTCTCCCCCATCTTACGTATGTAGTGCCATCAACTGACTTCTGGTTTGTTTGAATAGTTTGGTTTAACTGAGCGATAGTGTCTCTTGCATCTGGAATAATATACAAAATATATATATTATATTTCGTAAAACCAGTTATAAATTCATTCTGACAATTTGCTTTTCTTGCATGATATTATTGAAACGATTGCTTCTATCACTGCTTAGAGATCCATATATTTAAATATATTGAATTTATCATTAATTTACACATCAGAAAGCATAAAAGTATCAAGTTGAATAAGATAAAATATTGGAAATGTGAAAAAAGGAGGAAAAGGCATTATAACACAAACTAAAGGCGTTATTACATGAATTAAAAGCGTTATAACGCGACAGAAAGGCGTAATATCCCGAAACAAAAGGCGAAGAAAGGCAAAACAAAAATGCGTTATAATGACAATTCAAAAATATATTAATGCTTTTCAAATAGACAGACCGGTTACGCGAAAACAGAATACTTTTATTGATATGAATTAATTGCACACAACATATTTACTTTATATTTTCAAATATCTACGAATATTTCATAATATCACAGTCTGTTTTTTATCTTTAATATGAAGATACAAACACGAAATAAGGAGTTAACTTTCATCTTTACTAATGAGACACTTTTACTTTATTTTACCTAATTTACCTATTCTATCACTTAAAAAGAGGATATGTCTGATGATGAGGATACACCGAATAATCAAGAAAGGCATTTAATATCAGCAAACATTTATGATACCAACAGTACATGGCATGTATTTGAAATAATAATTGTCAGTAGCGGATTAAGTAGAATCATAAAATATCATTTAAATAAAATAAACTGTCACCTTGAAATCATACTATTAAGAATCACGAATAACCAATGTGACTTAAATAAATACTCAGGACACCTTTACATGTACATACGTTGAAATCATAATATTAAGAGTTACGAAATGGTAATAAACTAAATGTATTACCAAAATACTTAAATTACTTTATAACATTTACATGATACATAAAATAGCAAATTTAAACTAACCCTTGAGTTCTTCAATCAGCGATGCCACTTTTTTGCTCTGATGCGAAGTAATTTCCTCAAGCTGAATCAGTTTCTTCAACACGTTATATTCGCACTGAAGTTTGTTTTCCTGCAAACCATTTTCTGTGGAGGACGACGCTGCTCTTTCAAAACTAATCAAAAAGAAAATTTTTGCAGCCACATAGAAGAACATGATTCTGCATGGAGTTGAGGACATCTATCACTATGCGCCTTTTTAAGCGAATATTGTTTTGTTTTACTCTTTTGTTATGCTTAATTGGTTTAAACTGGTTTAAAAATAAGAACAATCCCTAAAACGTGGGTTTATTGTTGCAAAAAGGAAGAAGGAAGAAAATGTCTTAAATCTTGTAACAAAAGGTGTTATTAAAAACATCTTATTGCATTAAAGATTATTCACGATACACATGTTTCAACACTTTAGTGTTGTTATAAGCGTGAAAATGGCCATGATTTAAAGAAATCAAGAAAAAGATTATGGTTATCGTTATCCAAGGCTTATTTAAGTCCTTAATAAAACATGTTACGGTGATGTGTATTTAACTAGTAATTAATTCCTTTTTATGATAGGTACTTTTTATATTAAAGTCACATTATGCCCATTTTTCTCATTTTCGAGTTGAGCTGAATTGACTATATATTTTAAAAGATTGACTATTGTAATGATCATTGGACAATATTTGCTAAAGGAAAATGTTTAGGATAAATATAACAATTGCCTGAAATATGATAGGACTGTCCTACCCTATTTAATTTGAACAATAAAGATATATTCTGAAGGATATTTACAGACGTTTCTGTAAGTTATGTAGGTTATTGTTAAAAGAAATGAAGTAGAATATAAAATTGAAAATAATAGAAAATTCTAAAGTTATTTTAATTTTAACCTGGAAACGCCAAATTTACACTTGAATGTGCATTATGTTACTTTAAGTAGACGGTCGTGATTTGTCTGATAATATAAGCAACACAGTCAAAGTGCTTGATATTTATGATTTTAAAATTGAATCATCACTGTTAAGCCTAGCTGTAGTGTTTTAGGTGTTAAAATATAAATATAAGCTTTGCAATTTATTCTGTTGAACAAACATTATACGAGTGTCCAGATAATTACTTATCAGACGTGTGTTTGCATATGTAAAGGAGCACAAGATTAAACACAGTTTCTTAATCCTTACCAAAGGGGCTTGTCAATGTTTCAAGCCTTAACTGCCACCAGCTTGCTATGGGCTAAAAATTTACAATTCTCGTTTAAAAAGGGCTATGCTATCTACGTTCCATAATTAATTATACGTTTTTGTAAATTAGCTAAAGTGTCAATTATATATGTTTCCATTAAAGTAAATTAGTGATGAAATATAAGATACAACGTTTTAGATCTACACTATTTGGGAGTGTAAGATATTTTCAAAATAGCTACATATTTTAACAATTTATAAAGTAGAGAACAAAAAACAAAATCATTGAAGAACACCTAAAACGGTAAATCTGAAAATGTTGCAAGCTTGGTTTGATTGAGCATGTTCAATTACGGTAGTGGTAAGAAAAAATATGTTATCGCATGTCATGGTTAACATGAATGTTGGTGTATCATTAAATGTTGACCCCGCTTAATTACCTGTTTGTTAATGACCCATGGTCATTTTTTCAACGGACTATGATCTGTTTAGTAACAATGGCGACAAGTGCGACAAGTGTATCAGTAACCCTTACTTCCCCCGATCAGTACAGATCTGTCAGGAGGTTGGTGTAGCAGACGTACAATATTTACTGGTATGATATAAGAAACCGTTGACTTGTTACATGTGCTTTGGGTTAAATAACAATGTTGAGTAGGATTAGAAAGCAAGTCGTACATTAAAGCGCACAACCGTTATCGGTATTGTATGCTTTTTCACAACCGTTATCGGTATTACCTAAAGCATACCTTTGGTCTATATTGCAGCAATGTAAAACCATCGATTTTAAAGCGCGGGAAGATATTAATTTATTAATGGGTATAGATATATTAAAATATACACAACATAATGAGCATATAGTCGTCGTTCTAAACACACTGTAACGAAAATATTCCTTAAACCCATGGCTAGCTATAGATATTCAAATGAATTCAGTCGATTTTACTTGAATATCATTGGACAAAACATATGTAAAGATTATGGATAGTAACCTCCCTTTGATATTTGATCGTCATTAATACTTCAAAATAACTTGTTTATGGGAATGTATTTGATAAAATAGGAAAACCGTTGTTGTTTTTCTACTTATCAACTATATTTAAGTTTATTTGAACTTTGAATAATTTAATTTTGTTGTCATTTGTCAATAAGTTCAATAAATTATTATAGCTTTTTTATGGAATAGTTCAGAAGAAGCTCGGAAGACGATCGTTATTTGAAAAGCAACGTTAGAAAAACGTTTTTATATCTTTAAGGATCAACTAATAAATAATAGGATAACTTGTTTTGTAATGTAACCCCAGTTTTAGTGCAAGTGCAGAAAGAGTGAGTCGAGTTTGGGGTCTAAAAGAGAGCACATGATTAAAGCAAAAAAATATTATATCATTTTATATGCCCGAAAGGGCAGATGATGTTATACCCCCTTGCGTCCGTCCGTCCGTTAGCAATTTGGTTTCCGGAGCATAACTTTAGTTCCATTTGGCCCACAATATTCAAACTTCATAGGATGATTGTCCATATTGGAGAGAAGACCCTTATTAATTTTGGGGTCAAAAGGTTAAAGTCACTATTACCTTAAAACTGAAAACAGTTTCCGGAGCATAACTAAAGTTGCATTTGACCCACATTATACAAACTTCATAGGGTGATTGTCCATATTGGGTAGAAGACCCCTATTGATTTTGGTGTAACAAGGTTAAAGGTCAAGGTCATTAGTACCTTAATTCCGGAGCATAACTTAAGTTTCATTTGACCCACAATATTCAAACTTCATAGGATGATTGTCCATATTAAAGAGAAGACCTCTATTGATTTAGGGTCAGAAGGTCAAAAGTCAAGGTCACTATTACCTAAAAACTGAAAACATTTTGCGGAACGTAAATTAAGTTCTATTTTGACAAACAATATTCAAACGTCATATGATGATTGTCCATATTGGTGGAAGACCCCTATTGATTTCGGTGTCAAAAGGTCAAAAGTCAAGGTCACTATTACCTTTAAACTGAAAAAAGTTTCCGGAGCATAACTTAAGTTCCATTTGGCTCACAATATTCAAACTTCATAAAATGATTGTCCATATTATAGAGAAAAACTCTATTGATTTTGGGGTCAAAAGGTCAAAGGTCAAGGTCACTATTACCTTTAAACTGAAAACAGTTTGCAGAGCGTTATTTAAGTTCTATTTGACAAACAAAACTCAAACTTCATAGGATGATTTTTCATATTGGGTAGAAGACCCCTATTGATTTTGGGGGTAAGAACGTCAAAGGTCAAAGTCACTTTTACCTTTATACTGAAAACAGTTTCTAGAGCATAACTTGAGTTCCATTTGACCCGCAATGTTCAAACTTCATAGGATGATTGTGCATATTAGATAAAAGACCGCTATCGATTTTAAGGTCATAATGTTAAAGGTCAAGGTCACTATTACCTTAAAACTTAAAACAGTTTCCAGAGCATAACTTAAGTTCCATTTGGCCCACAATATTCAAACTTCATAGGATAATTGTCCATATTGGTTAGAAGACTCCTATTGATTTGGGGTCACAAGGTCAATGCTCAAGGTCACTATTACCTTAAAACTGAAAACAGTTTCCGCTCAATAACTTAAGAATTAATCAACCTACAGCTGTAAAATTTTATAGGATGAACAGCTTATTCCCATTCCACACTTTCGGGCATATAATGCTCCGCCTGGCGGTGCTCTTGTTGTATCTTTGATGTAAAATCTTACTACGACCTTCCTTCCTGTGCTCTCAGTGAAATCTCGATCGGCATGTCGGACTCCATCCACATAGACCTATCTGTTGAAAATTATTGTCTAAAACTTTCGTGACACAGTTCCCTCTCCAACATACATATAATCTTGTTATTCTCCCCGAAGTAGTTCACATGGGCCCAGGTTTTGCCATATCATGCTTATGAAAGCATTTTTATAACACCTGTGAGACATTCTGTTCGTCATTTTTATAAGCCTTTTTCTACTACATACAAAGTGTTAAATAATGACCCTTATTTGATCAAAATTCAGCAATTGATTATCGACCTTTCGATGAAAATTATTATTGAATTGTTAGCAGGGTCACTTTCAACGTTGAAAACTAACACAGGTTTAGTTATCAACATTGACACGTTTTCTAATATTTCCAAAAACGTGATTGTTTGGAGGGGGTGGTATGGACGGAGAAGAATCATGACTGAACTGAGGGCAATCGTAATCATTTTAAATACTGAACGTCCGACAAATAAATATTCCGGTGTCTGTTCTTATTATTATTATTATTATTATTATTATTATTATTATTATTATTATTATTATTATTATTATTATTATTATTATTATTATTATTGTATATAATATCCTTTGAAGTGAATTATTCATGAATTCTAATGATTTTAAGTACGTTTCATATAATGATTTTAAAGACGGACGAACCAACACTAATTTTGGACGAATAGTCAATAAAGTTGGTCGAATCGACAATTGATCAAATCGTTATCAATAAGCATAAATTATATTTATATTATATTAAATAATATTCGCTTAAATGCCACGATGATGTTACAACCTGAACTATCATATTTTGTATGGTGTTGATTTTTATTTCTGATGGAGACGTAATAAAGTCGAAAGTAGTAAAATGAGTTTTCATTATCTTTACCACTTATATTAAAAAGAAATACATTATTTTAATTTAAAAACTTTAAAGCATTTTCAATAAAGATTTAATATTTCATCAGTTAAATAATTATTAAATATAATTGTATATAAATAGATAATAAATGAATATAAATGTATAAACTTAATTTCTTATTGAACATTTCTGTAAATATTGGCTGAATTTTATTTAATAAAAAAACTCCATTTCAGTTTTGGAAAACCACAACCCTCATTTGTAAAACTGTCATTCCCCTTAAAATAAAGGATTAAATCTCAAACCTGTTCCAAGTATCTCTAGAATTGTACTGTTATGTTTAACCAACGAAGCGGTTGTCAAATGACTTTCACATGATATTTCAGTTTTCCAGACATGTCTATCAGGAACTAAGCTTTTATGAACACAAGTTGGTGAGATCATTGTATCTTCTAGTGACAAAATTACAGCTCATGAATGAAAGGTTTCAGATAAGGTAAGGTGTGACAATTATAGGTACATGTACTTAATATACAATAATGTTTTTCAAACAAAAATGCGAGAAAAGACAAAGGGGGTATTAAATGTTAAATGATAAAGAACGTCACAGTTTAGCCTGTACAAAGCATTTTATTCAATCTCGTTGACTGTTATGATGACCTTTTTTGCATTTTGCTTTTGTTTGTTTAAAAATTATACGTTTAGTCCGGTTTTAGATTTTAATCGTATGTTTTTTAAAGCACGTTCCTCCAGATTCACGCTTATTTTTTCATGAAAATTTCAAAAATGGATAATATTGTACAAGTATCAAAGAAAGCAATTTACACATTGCAAACAACACTTTAAATCCACGTTAATTACCGAATATAAAACATAAACGGACTGAGTAAGAAGCTTTAGGTTTCTTGAAAACCGTTTTCGTTATCAATATTTCACAAATTTTAAAAAGATTGTACCAAAATATATAAGATATAAGCTTAAATTTACATATCATTTTGACTTGTGTTTTAATGTCTTTTTAAACGTCTTCATATGTTTGTTTGTTGTTGTTGTTGGGATGGTTAAATGATAAATTTCATAGATCGACTTGGGGATCGTGCCAATCTCTTTAATCGAAGATAGTAAGACTGAAATAGAGTTTAGTTTGAAAGACGATATCTCTAGTGTAACTTGCAATTTGTAAATTGAATTTTAATGAAACGTGTTCTACTGTATAGGGAACGATGAAAAGTTTATACTGTAGAGATAGGTGATTAGTAGGGTCTGTTAGTGTTGTAGGGTCCTACTTCAGTGGGTTGCATGAAAATAACATCAAAACAATTGAGAAAGAAACAAGGTTCCTTGTACCGGTTATTGTACTGCCGGCTTCGATGCCGATATTTCCCAGTACTCAAATTCATCTTGTGAATCAAAATTATCCCAAACTACATCTGAGGATTCAAGAAGAGGTCGAACAAAAGAAATATATGTAGTTTCAAGTGTACTGCGGTCAATACTGACTTTTGTAAAGGATAAGTTTAATGTTTTTCAATACAAAACTAGAACTGCCACTATCATGGCGTGAATACCCCCGCATACCACTTTGTCAGAATCAACAGTGGCCATTTAGAGCTCAAGGACAACCTCCCTGCGAAATCTGAGGTTACTAAGCCATTGCATTTTAAGTTATGTATTCTACATGCTTCAAATGTGAAAAAGTCAAAATCAATACATTGCGGACAGGACATTCTTTAGCAATTGAGAAGAAAAGCTTTTTTTGTCAAGGTCCCTGTGACCTTGACCTTTGACTAGTGACCTCAAAATCAATAGGGGTCACCTTATAATCATGATCAACATCCATGCCAAATATGAAGACTGTGGGTCAAAGGGATCTTAAGTGAATGGGTGGACAAACTTTTTGAAGTCAAAGTCCCTATGACCTTGACCTTTGATTCAGTGACCTCAAAATCAAAAGGGGTCATCTACTAATCATGATCAACATCCATTCCAAATATGAAGACTGTGAGTCAAAGGAATCTTAAGTTATTGGGCGGATAAGCTTTCTGAAGTCAAGGCCCCTGTGACCTTGACCTTTGACCTGGTGACCTCAAAATCAATAGGGGTCATCCACTAATCATGACCAACCTCCATGCCAAATATGAAGACTGTGGGTCAAAGGAATCTTAAGTTATTGGGCGGACAAGCTTTTTGAAGTCAAGGCCCCAGTGACCTTGACCTTTGACCTGGTGACCTCAAAGTCAATAGGGGTCATCTTCTAATCATGACTAACCTCCATGCCAAATATGAACACTGTGGGTCAAAGGAATCTTAAGTTATTGGGCAGACAAGCTTTTTGAAGTCAAGGCCCCTGTGACCTTGACCTTTGACCTCAAAGTCAATAGGGGTCATCTACTAATCATGACTAGCCTCCATGCCAAATACGAAGACTGTGGGTCAAAGGAATCTTAAGTTATTTGGCGGACAAGCTTTTTGAAGTCAAGGCCCCTGTGACCTTGACCTTTGACCTGGTGACCTCAAAATCAATAGAGGTCATCTACTAATCATGACTAACCTCCATGCCAAATATGACGACTGTAGGTCAAAGGAATCTTAAGTTATTGGGCGGACAAGCTTTTTGAAGTCAAGGCCCCTGTGACTTTGACCTGGTGACCTCAAAATCAATAGGGGTCATCTACTAATCATTACTAACCTCCATGCCAAATATGAAGACTTTGGGTCAAAGGAATCTTAAGTTATTGGGCGGACAAGAAAAAACCGACGGACAGCCGGACGGACAGCCGGAAGGCCGGACGGACGGACAAGCTGATTCCAGTATACCCCCCTTACAACTCTGTTTTGCGGGGGTATAATTATAGAGAATGACGTTTTAGCAGTCTAACATTTGGCTTAATACTGGTGGCAAAGGCTAAGTACTATCGGCTCCCATTTAGTTACGGGTTAATTTCAGTTGTTGATATGCTTTCTCCAATTGTTACTATTAACATGATGAATGTATATTAAAACTTTTACATGACGTATAAGAGTATCGTGCTCATATCTGCCAGACACACGTGAAACTACGGAACTAATCAAGCGTGCATCTACAATTATGTAGCAGAGCATACATATTTTTTAAGCTTGTGTGAGTAGTTTGTTTCTGACCAATTAATAAGTGAGTTTAAGCTTAACTTCTTTATTACATTTGGTACAGATCGATATCGATAACAAATTACGTGGATAGTTAGGGACACTATCGTGTAAAGGAAATTAGTTGTTATTACTTCGTACACTTTGCTGATGATTTGTAATATATTAAGCTATATGCTTGCATTCTTTCATGAAACTTTATTTAAAACACACATATTTTGATTAAAATACTGTTGAATATGTTATGAAGACAATCTTTGATGAATGACAAAATTATCTAAGCAGGTACTAGATATTCAAAGCATACATTATGTCAAGCATATTTGTTGAAATAATGATTGATCGATAAAGGTTGCTATTACATAGCAGATGTGATGTCCATTAAAATCACTTGAAATTGCGAATTAATAAAAGATATCTTCAAAACCATAACCATTTTCGCCAATTACTTATATGGCTGGATATTTGTAGACTTGGCATTAGGTGAATATGAACAAACAGCACAGGTGAGCTCCAAACCCTCTCTATATGGCGGACATTTGAGAGATCCGCAACTGCCACTAACGAAGTAGAATAATTTGCCATTATGATTGGCATGACCACCAGGTAACACTTCCGGCTCGTCATCAATACAGATAAACTGAGATGGTGATACATTCTTGTGATGGCTTGACATTAGATAGCCCTTGTATTCCAGTTGGTAATTTTCGTGGCAGATATTTCGTCCTGGTACCATCAACAAGTTATTTCTTGGTATTCTACACACTGAACACGGAATGTCTTGGTCATGTAGATGTTTCCATGATGACTGACTGCTTGTCTCATACTCTGCACCGTATATAATACCATCATAAACTCCAGGACTATATTTGTCGTATATAGGATTCTTTGGTAGACACAGAGGGTCGACAGCTGTTCCACTATGTGTGTAATGAGACCCTGCTGCGTACCCAGTGTAAACTTGATATGCAGTATCTGGGCATGTTGTTCTCCCCCATCTTACGTATGTAGTGCCATCAGCTGACTTCTGGTTTGTTTGAATAGTTTTGTTCAACTGGGCGATAGTATCTCTTGCATCTGGAATAATATACAAAATATATAGAAAGAAATGTACACGGCTTGAATAAATCCGAAAGTGCTTTATCTTTAATGTTTCGTTAAACCACTTATAAATTCATTTTGAGAATTTGCTTTTTATAATATTGAAACGATTGCTACTATCACTGCTTATATATCTATCTAAGCATCCCGACATCATCATTAATTGATGAATATTTTCATCAGGAAGCATACTAGAATCAAGTTGAATAAAATAGAATATTGGAAATTCGCAGAAAAACATTATAACGCGAACCAAAAGGCGTTATAAAGCAAACTTAAGGCGTTAGTACATAATATCAAAGTGTTATAACGCGAGCAAAAGATATGCGTAAAATCCCGAAACGATTTAATAACAAATTCATGCTTATCAAAAAGATAGACTGGTGACGCGAAAAAAGAAGAACAAGATTGATATGAATTAATTGCACACGATATATTTGCTTCAGATTTTCAAATATCTACTGATATTTCATAATGTCACAATCTTTTATATGAAGATACGAACACAAATTAGGAGTTGACTTTCATCTTTACTTATGAGATACTTTTACCTAATTTGAATATTCTATCACTTAAAAAGAAGATATGTCAGATGATGTGGACTTAACACACACCGAATAAGCAAGAAAAGCTTTCAATATCAGCAGACATTAAAAAATATGATATCAAGAGTGTATGTATTTGAAATAATAATTGTCAGTAGCGGTTAAAGTACAATCTTAAAATATCATTTAAATAAAATAAACTGAAACATTGAAGTTGCGAAATGGTAATTATCTAAAGGAATTATCCAAAATACTTAAATGACTATATATAAAATTAATAGGTACATAAAAAGTAAGACAAACCTTTGAGTTCTTCAATAAGCGTTGCCACTCTTTTGCTCTGTACGGAAGTGATTTCCTCAAGCTGAATCAGTTTCTTTAACACGTTATATTCGCACTGAAATTTATTTTCACACGAGCCACTTTCTGTGGAAGACGACGAAGCGCTGTCAATACTCAGCAACAAGAAAAGTTTTGCAACCACATAGAAGAACATAATTTTGTTCAGAGTGAAGGACATCTATCACTATGAGCCTTTTCAAAACAAATATTGTCTTGTTTTACTCTCGTGTTATGCTTTATTGGTTTGAATAGTTTTAAAAACAAAACAAAAAACAATCCCCAAAACGTGGGTTTATTGTTACAAATAGGAAGAAGGAAGAAAATGTCTTAAATCTTGTAACAAAAAGTGTTATTTAAAACATCTTATTGCATGAAAGACTATTCACGATACATATATTGCACCATTTTTATGTTGGAATGAGTGTGAAAAATGGTTATGATTTAAAGAAATACAGAAACGATTATGATTATCGTTCATTCACCAATATATGTTTAATGAAAAAAAGTTAAGGATAAAATATAGCAATTAGCTAAAATATGATAGGAATGTCCCACCCTATTTTAATTGTACAATAACGATATATTCTGAAAGATTTTTATAGAATTTTCTGTGTGTTACGTAGGTTTTTGTTTAAACAAATGATCTAAAATATAAAATTGAAAATAATAGAAAAATCTAAAGTTATTTTGACTTTAACCTGGAATCCCCAAATTTACATTTGGATGCGCATTATGTTACTAGACAGTAGATGGTCGTGATTTGTCTGATAATATAAGCAACACAGTCAAACTGCTTGATATTTATGATTTAAAAATTGAATCATCACTGCCAATCTGTAATGTTTTTGGTATTAAAATATAAATATAAGCTTTGCAACTCATTCTGTTAAACAAACATTATACGAGTGTTCAGAGAATTGCTTTTTAGACGTGTGTTTGCATATGTAAAGGAGATTTATTTTGAAAGTATCAAACTAGCACCAGTAAGATATTTTCTAAATAGCTACATATTTTAACAATTTATAAAGTAGAGAACAAACACAGAATCATTGAAGAACGCCTAAAACAGAAAAATTGAAACTGTTGCATGCTTGGTTTGATTGAGCATGTTCATTTACAGTAATGGTAAGAACAAATATGAAATCGCATTTCATGGTTAAAATGAATTTCGCTGTATCATTGTTGACCCCGCTTAATAACCCGAATGTTTAATGACCCCATGGGTCATTTTTCAACGGACTATGATCTGTTCTGATCAGGGTAAGTAACTGCGGCGACAAGTGTAGTGTATCAGTAACCCATACTTCCCCTGATCAGTACAGATAATAGAGAAACAATGTGTAGCAGACGTACAATATTTACTGGTATGATATAAGAAACCGTTGACTTTATACATGTGCTTTGAGTTTAATTAAAATGTTGAGTAGGATTAGAAAGCAAGTCGAACATTAAAGTGCACAACTGTTATTGCGTAAAACATAACTTGGGTCTATATAGTGGCAATGTAAAACCATCGGTTTAAAGCGCGTGAAGATTTTGATTTATTTATGGGTATAGAAAGATTAATTTATACACAACACATGAAGCATATAGTCGTTCTAAACACATTGTAAAGAGAACATTCCTTAAACCAATGGTTACCTATAGATATTCTAATGAATTGTAACAGTCGATTTTACTTGTTTAAACGCCACATATTTCGTGAAAAAATATTCCATATTTGAGTGAAAATATAAACCATATTTCACTAAAAACGAAAAAAATCACCTTTTTTATTTAATTTTATTATAAAAAATTGTTACGAATCCCCTTGCTTGCTATGCAACTGCAAATATACAGCGCGCAGTAATATATTTATTATTTATATGTGCGTCTTGTTTTGCACGCGTTGTTTAGCTCTATATTGTGGCGTCACGTATACAACACTTTAAACGTCTCTGCAGCGTTAATGACTGAATTAAAGATATTGGTGTTCGTATTTATTTTCTTAGTTAGACCATTTTCTATCATTCTATTTTTCAAAACAAAATTCAACAAAAACAAAAAAAGAAAGAAGTCCCTTAAAATGACTCCGCCCACTTTCATACTTATATTTCATAATTAGTTTTTTTTCAAATAGGAACTAGAATCTATATTTGACTGATATAGCACCATATTTAATGGGTAAAATTAAATAATTTATCATATTTTGTATGGTGTTGATTTTTATTTCTGATGGAGACGTAAGTCAAAGTAGTAGAATGAGTTTTCATTATCTTTACCACTTATATTAAAAAGAAATACATTATTTTAATTTTAGAAACTTTAAAGCAATTCCATAAAGATTTAATATTTCATAAGTTAAATGATTATTAAATAAAAAGTGTATATAAATAGCTAATAGATAAATATAAATGTAAAAATTTTATTTCTTATTGAACATTTTGTTAAAATTGACTGATTTTAATTAATAAAAAACTCAATTTCATTTTGGGAAAACCACAACCCTCATTTGTAAAACTGCCATGTCCCTTAAATTTAAACATTAAATTTCAAACCTGTTCCAAGTATCTCTAGAATTTTACTTTTATGTTTAGCCAACGAAGCGGTTAACAAATGACTTGCACGTGATATTTCAGTTTTCCAGACATGTCTATCAGGAACAAAGCTTTTAAAGCAACACAAGTTGGTAAGATCTTTGTATCTTCTAGTTAAAAATTAACAGCTCGTGAGTGAAAGGTTTCAGATTAGGTAAGGTGTGAGAATAAGTACAATATATACAATAATGTTTTTCAAACAGAAATGCGAGAAAAGACAAAGGGGGCATTAAATGTTAAATGATAAAGAACGTCACAGTTTAACTTGTAGAAAGCATTTTATCCAATCGCGTTGACTGTTATGATGACCTTTTTAGCTCACCAGTCACAAAGTGACAGGGTGAGCTTTTATGATCGCTTTTCGTCCGGCGTCCGTCCGTCCGTCGTCCGTAAACTTTTACTTTAAATGACATCTCTTCATAAACCACTGAGCCAATTTCATCCAAACTTCACAGGAATGTTCCTTTGGTGGTCACCTTTGAAAATTGTTCAAAGAATTTAATTCCATGCAGAA